AATAATTTGACCCCTGTTCCAAAACAAACGAAATGCAACATTACAAAATTCCGCACAGCGCACCAAACACGTTATAATCACTTAACCTTTGAAAGATGCGGTCCTCCCTAAGCTCGTGGATCTATTTACTTGTGCCAAGGCGTGCTGAGAATATCAACGTACCTTTGAGACCAATTTCAATTTTGTGGATTGGATTACTGCTTGTGTACGTGGAACCCTGCGAACCCATTTATCGCTAAGTACATTGTTGTCTCGCACCTGTCACGGCTTGAGAGTGGAGCCGGGGGGATGAGCGAGGACTAAATTTGTTCTGACACGCCGGGGGAGCGTCTCATGCAGTCAGGAAAATTACACACACTGAAATTCATTCACTGTATATCCATGGCTGACTGCCAGCATGGACCACAGACTTTATCTTCTTTGCCGAGCTGTATATTTTCGAAGAACACACATAGAGCTAGCCTCCGTAGCAGGCTTATAGAACGGGGGTTTGGTGGTCTTCGGCTGTTTACTGATTAGCCCAGTTCGGGGGTAATTCAACCAGGCCGGTTATGTTGTCTATATGCAATCATAAATTAGCACAGAAAAGATCCCAAAGACTCCGAAGACCCCCAGTTTTTGTCGTGCTATGCCTATAGAGGCTAACATAGAGCGTGCTAAGGCTCTTAAAAAACGGGGTTGATATCAGGCTGAAGCATAATATAATTCCAGAGATGACATGATCTTGATATATCCATAAATTCGCGTTGACCATCATCAGTTGCGTTACCTTAACAATGCTTAAAAGAGGTAAAGATCTGAGATACAACGAGAGATACTGAAGAACCTAAAGATCGGGGTACTGAGCCGTACACAAGATTGCGGTACTTCTAATCAACAGTTTGTACGTTAGGGAAACCGCTGCTATAATTGCGAAGTGTTGTCCTCTAGAAGCGTTCTGAATATGTGATTGAAGTTGTGCATGGATGGACGTCCTCCAGTCGTCCGTGCCTCACGACACGCGCTACATACTAATTGTGTGATCAAGTTAACATTTACATAAGGGATGTTCATGAGAGACAGAGAGAGACAGACAGACAGATAAACAGAGAGAGACAGGGGAAGAGAAAGAAAGAGAAAAAGAGAGACAGAGAGAGAGAGACAGGTGAGAGAGAGGAGTGCCCCACGATACGCGCCACATGCTAAGTGTGTGATCAAGTTAACATTTACGTAACGGGTGCTCATGATCAGTCACTAGTCTGTGTTATACACGAGAGGAAGACAGACACACACACACACACAGAGAGAGAGAGAGAGAGAGAGAGAGACAGAGAGAGAGAGAGACAGGGGAGAGAGATGGGTGTTATCATTATAAAAACAGCCATATCTCAGGTGTGTAGCCAATGTACCGTGTAGTTATAGTTGATGACTTGCGCTCATACAAGGGTACCCAATGATTATCCTGCATGTCCCCAATACACCCCCACACTCCTGTTATAACATACGCGGAACTGCCCCTAACCTGTTACTAGACCTTTGCGTCAGAAGCACTTGGAAAGATCGATGAATCCATTTACGGATCTTATCCTGTTGATTTCATTGTGGTTGAGACCTTAGTTCATTACGTATTAATTTAGATCTAATATTCTGTTAGTCCGTGTTATGTCTTTAATGTCTGTCTTGGAAAGTTCATTGAACTTATATGGGAAGGAAATAT